TATATTAAGATGATATATTTATAGGGTAATTTATAACATAATAAATGTTAAAATTTATAAAATATCGAATCTTTTAAGAATATGTATTTTTAAATATTTTGACTTTTAATTCTTTATTTTAAAGAAATTATACAGAATCAGATCCAGACATTTTTATGGCCAGACATCGGCATGTTTAGGTATTTCGTTAAAACATTTTTTTTATTAATTATCAATTTGATGAGATATTAGTTTTTGAGAAAGGCTAAATACGCCCCTAGTTTCATCATATTTTTTTTTTGTGTATTGTGTCTTTTAGTCCTTTTTGCTTATTTACATTTGTATTAATTTTTAATTAATACAATTTGTTCTTCTCTCTTTTCTCTTTTCTCTTTTATTTATTTATATTATATTTTAATTAATATGATTTATTAATAACTGTATATTTTTATTTAAAAACAAATAAATTCTTATTAATATTAAATATTACTATGTTTTTCTAATAATAGTTATAAAAATAACACATAAATATTGAGATTTGATATTCAAATAAAACATAAAATAAATTATATTATATTACTTTTTCTAAAATGACATTATTTGTAGTATAATTAAAACTTAAAAGCTGCATGTACTTAATTATTTGATCGATCTAAATACGGGGTAGTTTATGTAGCAGCACACAGATAATCGAAATGAAAATGTGATGTAATAATAGGGATCGAGTATCCTTCTACCACATCTAGTTTCACATAATAGTTAATGTACCAATCACAAAAGTAACATGTTGATACCATTGTGGCAAAATAGACCTAAGCGATAAATATGTTATACAACCTGTAATGTCTATAATTGTGTAATATCGCACTATAATTTGAAGCAATCAGGACACCTATTTTAGGCATCGTCATCCAATGTTCAAGTGGAGCATCTTGATCTGATTGAAAGAAGTTTAAAGAGGTAAACTATATTCCAATATCGACTTATGTTGAGGTATTCCGTCTTGTATAAGTTAAAAAAGATGCAATGAAAGAAAAGGTGAAGAATTTATATATATATATATATATATATATATATATTTGTATGTATGTGGGTGTATATATGTATTAATATATGTATTTAATAATAATATATAATATGAATTATATATAATAATAATAAATTAGTATTGTTGGTCTCGAATGAGATGACAATAAATAGAAAGTAATTGTAAATAGGGGGTTGAATACAATTACACATATTTTTTATAACTTTTTAATTTTTATTGATATATATATATATATATATATATATATATATATATAACACATAGAGATACAATACAAATTGTTGCGAAAGAAGAAAATGACAACATTACCTAAACAATATTACAAAGAGAAGAACTTACAAGAACAACACATAGAGTACTTGCAAAGAAATGAAGAACAATAAGGTTTTCTTCATACACAGGAGAGTAGTAGAAAAGAGTGGATTATCTTGATAATGCACATAGAAATTCTTTTAGGGAAGGGTGGTTTTGCATGAGAGATTCATTATGCCTTTTATACTACCTCCAAGTATTAAATGTATAGGAACACTTGTGACCTTAGGATAAGAAGGTATGGGTTGAGTTGACCATAATTGATAATATATATATATACACACACACATATGTAAGAGATAAGTATATAAAATTGGGTTCCGGTAAGAAAGAGATTTATAGCGAAAAGTGTAAGAAATGATCTTCATTCTCAGATGCACATTAGGATGAGATGCACCAGATCAATCCTCGTATCAAACGCGATTAATGGGTATATTTAAGATTAAAAGTGATCAAAAATTCAAATATCTTATTAGGCTTCTCATCTTAAATTTATTTTTCACATGAATTTTCGCCTAAGTAATATATAATTCATCAGTGTATACATATACTTAGGAAAAAAAAAAATAATATATATATATGTATACTATAATATATCTTCAAATAATAATAATAAATATATAAGGGGTTATCTACATGTGAAGAATGATTGAATAAAAATGAAAGTTATGATAAAAATCGTAAGAAAGAATCTCAACCCTTATCGCTTTTAATTTCATCCCCAACTATAAATTGCGATTATCATGAAAATTGATCTAGCGTATCTCAATGCACCGTGTTAGTATTGATCTTCAATTATAATTGATTCAACGTTGAATATCAATTCTTATATTTCTTATCATAATTTTTATTCTTCATCAAAACATAACCTTATATATGTATATAATATTATTATAATAAAATAAAATAAAATATTTGATTGATTTAACATTTAACGATTTTCAATAGGAGAACTAATGATACCCCTAAGTTTTGCTAATGGCACCCCTAACCTTTTTATATAAGGGGGGGTGCTAATGGCACCTTTTTGTAGGGGGTGTGATTTTTTTTGAAAATTGTATCAATCAACCTTTTTTATAAACATCACCTTAATTATCATTTTATTAATTTTGTTTTATTTTATATATTTACATTAAAAA